GGCCACAGTGCTCTCCTCTTCAGGATCCCCTAAGTTGATCACAATTAGGCGTAAGGTTCACGCTCACCCAGCCCATCCACAGTGGGAATAGTCTCCCTCCCTATTAGCAATCTAGGAGGGTGGTTTTATTAAGGGAATTAGAGGGATATGATTATCCTCATGTAACTCCAGCTTAAACTTCTTTCTGGGACTCCCACCATTCTTGACATCAACGGCCCAGACCCTTCCTGGGCGGCATGGAGTCTGGCTTCTCGGCTGCTACCCCAATCCCGCGAAGCTGTTTCCCTCCTCACTGAGCTTGTGTCTCAGTTTGCTACACCTCCACACCAACACAGCGCATAGCGTCCGCTTGTTGCCCCATCCACACCCCTCTACCCCCCCAAACTTCTCATCATACCAGTGATGCACCAATTACGCGCGAGCGCCAGTACCGTCAAATTCATACGAGATTAATTTCCTGATGTGCATAATCTGATTACCAGGCCATGCCCCTCCCACTTCGCTCGCTGACCGCAATGACCTCACGCGGATCTGCTAGTGTCATTCCCATTCGCTGATCAACTGGCACCGTGACGTCAGCCACGCAGTCATCCCTCACACTCAAAAATAGGCTCTTTTGACACAGAAGAGAATCGAAATGACTTATCACACACACATCTCTCAACGTTGCTACTCGTCGAAACTGCTCCTAATGACACAATACAGTACCGTGTTCGCTATTCCTGAGAAGCGCTGTTCTCTTTCACTCCCTTGCAACTACGTTCTCCACGCAAGTTCTCTTCATTATTTGTCTGTGTTTTTTCAGAGACCAGCATGCTGCTGACCCAGTAGATCACCTGGCCACCCCCACAACCGAAAGAGTGGTTCTATCAATTCGCAAATCTGATCACATCAGGCCAACTCGTTCTAGTCACGACTGAGAGGAGAGGCAGGCGTTTAGGTGACAGAATCACTTATCATCCCGGCTCCGCGTTGCGCAAACTACATTTCCTTCCTATTTTTCACACACTGTGCCCGCCCGCCCCTCCGGCTAATACGATTTAAACAGAAATTACAGCGGAATAGTGAATAGAGTTATCTCTACTTGAACACTTACTGTCCTGTGTGAAATATCAGATATCATCCTATCCGAAGCCCTTATCACCAGCTGGACTGAGTTCATCAAAACCCACACCCATGTGGTTTGTTTCCATACTGAGTCCATGCACCATCAGGCTGTAAAAAACACCAAGGGAAGGGGGGAGAGGCAGGCGTTTGTGCAGCTGGTCATAATCCCTTTATTAAGCATTTCCTGAGCTTCCTATCTACTGTGGGCAGACTGGCCCATCCCACTCCCTGCAGCGCATGGAACTTTCCCCCCACAGCACAAGGATGCCGTGGCCAAAAAGCCATCAAAGAAGACAAAGGCAGCAACGGGGAGGCGTCAGTACCGAAGGCATGCCCGCAGTCCTGGCCCTGCGGCGTGGAGTACTCCAGGCAGCCGGCTCGCTCCTCCAGGGGCGGGCAGGGCGCCCCGCCGTTCTGCGGCTCCTGCTGCACCGAGCGCCTCCGCACGCGGCTCGTGGGCTTGCACTGCTCTGCGCAGCCGCTCCAGGGGCTCCACTCCCCCACGAAGCACGGGCGAGCTGCAAAACAGCACAACAGGACGCTCACCTGAGTAGCCACCTTCACCTTGACCCGGCCTGTGTCAGGAGAACACAAAGCCTCAGCAGGTCCTCCTTGGCATTGACTTCGCATGCCCGCCTGACTGGTAACCCCTTAAAGGCAACTGGGTATATCCCAGGAGCCCCAAGGTGGGTCTGAGCCAGGGACACACACCCACGTACCTGAGGTGGATGCCTTCGGGGGACTTCCTCACACTCCCACGGCTGACATCAGATCTTTGTTTTTGTCTGTCATTGATATTAACTTTACTTGTCTCTGCTCACAACATTTTTATTGTAACAGTAATACACTCTCATTGTAGAGAACATAAGGAAAACACGAAGCTTAAAAAAGGAAATGTACTTCGCCCACCAGTAATCCCATCACCCAGCAGGCCAATTCTTATCAGCAAAGGCAGCTCTGTAAGAAACATGGCTTGGGGCTACACACGGGGACCCTTACACTTTAGCCTTCTCCAGTTTGCTCTATTCTCATTATCCGTGAATCACAGGCTCTGAATCACAGGCTCATAAACTATGATCTTGGGAGTTTAGCGATCACCAGCCAGAGCCCAGACAGGTAGAGAGTGCTCATGGCCACTCGGGAAGGGCAGCACGGGACAAGCATGTGGCGTGGAGTCTTGTTCTTTCTATCAGACTATGCGTCTCCACGTCTTTGGTCAGCTCAGAGCTGAGCGTGCTGCGCTGTTCCCTGCAGTCCAGCAATTCGTCTGAGGATTCACTCGATGGGCAAGCCAAGCCAGTCCTTGATTCCAAAAATCCAATTACCAAATCTGGAGATGGAATTAAAAAATGCAATTTCCTCACCATGACTGTAAAATCAACATGGTTTCACATTTTACTTTCCCATTGAAAGCTCTGATGAGTCTTTTATAATAAAGGGACCGTAATGAGTTTTCAAACTGAATGATTTCCGGACTTTAAATTAAATATGAGAAAAGGAAAGAACAAGAAGACAAAAGGTGTGTCTCTGAACTAAACACCAAGCTTTTTTCTTCACAAAGTGTGACCCGCTTTCCCTATCACCCTCACACTTTGAAGTTCATAGTGTTTCTGATAAGAAAGCACTGTGGCTTCTTTGAGTGCTTGATTTGGACTTCTGACAGTTTGTACTTGAAAACTCATTTTGCCTCCCAGCACACTCTAGTTCAGGGCTCGTGGTTTTCAGAAGACATGTTGTTTGGTGACACACGGCCACCTGTGACATGAAAAGGGCCACATAGAACATAATTCAAAAATTGTAATACTACTTTAAACATGCTTTCATTCATCATCTAAAAACTCACAGATATCACATGTCAACTACCTAGAGAAGCAAGAAGGAGCCATGTCAGAGTTCATTCCCGATATCCACCGTGCATACATCTTTTGGAAAATCAATAACAGGTCACTTCCTGCTCTTGTCATCTCTTGTTGACCTTTCCCTTTTTATTTTCATGATTTCATGATTTCACGGGCCCATCGAACCAGAAGGCAGTTAAAGAGCTCCCTTAGGCTGTGAGCTGGTTGAGAAGGACTACTTCCATCCTTAATTCTTTCAATACCTCTCTTCCTCCCCCAAACCTCTTCATCCCTGAGTCTAGCTAGTCCTGCCAGGATGTGTTGAACTTGAACAACACTCAATGCAGAGAACACTCTACATGCAAAAGAATGCACTTGTTTCAAAGATTAACACTTTAGACATCACCATAACATAAAATTTTGTCAGGGCATTAACACAGAATATGGCCTTGGGTCAGACTCTGTCCATATGGTAAAAGATGGCTCTGGGGAGAGTTTTCTGTCTGAATTTAGCCCCCCAGGGTTTCTTCATCATTTGTGTCACTCGCCCATTATTTGTTTATTTTGTTTGGTTTGGTCCCACAGTTGAAGTTCTCAAAAATCAAAGAGTTATTGCATCAATTGTTGCTCCTATTGGTTAAGATTTGTCCTGGGCAAATGCCATTTCCTGTTTTTCCAATCCATGACTTTAAAAGCCCCAGATAGAGAACTGGAAAGTTCTAGGATCCAGGACAACATCTGATGGGCTCATGGTAAGACGAAATAAAAACTCTCACATAGAATTATGTGAATAGAAAGGCATTCCACAAAATGTTTTGTATTGGCAGGTTCATCTGGGGTATTTGTTCCTATTCTGCACCAAAGATTCTATTCCTGACTAGCTCGTGAACTTTTGATTATTTGGATCGCAAGCCATCGTAAATCACGAGATCTTTGGTCTCGGAAGTTAAGGGAAGTAAGGAACTTCTGGTAGATTTATTACCACAAGCCATATATTACAGCCACATGACACAAATTTCCTTCTGAACTATTCCACAGTATTCTCGTCCTCTTTCCCACTGAAGCTGGTCTAGTTCACATCTACATACAACATATATAAACATTCTTTCTTAAAATCTGACCTTTCTAATCTTCACAGCTAGTTTCACCAGCTGTTAGGAGAGCCGACAGACTGTGGTACTCAGTGAGTGGCATGATTACCTGTTAGTCCAAGTTTGTCACAGTTTCCTGAGTGCCTAATAGTTAGAATTTGATGACACCATCCACTTCTTTTAGGAGAAGGAAGCCTAGCTTTAATGGGTGCCAGGGACCTCAGCAAGCTCACTCTTTTCTTTTTTCTTCTTTGTTTAAACACAGCCTAATATTTAGATGGAGTTTTCCCCAGGAGCAGCCCAAGAGACATGGATTGCATGTAAGTAATTTATTTGGGAGGCAATCCCATGAGGGAGCAGAGAAGAGACTAAGAAGCAGACATAGCTGGGCACAGTGGCGCACGCCTGCAATCCCAGCCACTCTGGAGCCTGAGGTGAGAGGATTGCTTGAGGTCAAGAGTTCAAGGCCAGGCTGAGTGATATAGCAAGACCCCCTGTATCTAAAAAAATTAAAATAAATACATTAAAAAAATTTGTTTAAGAGAAGCAGACATAGAAGAGAACAGAGACATAAAATAGACATCTGAGTTTCTGCTGTAGGCCTGGTGGGCACCTCCGGCTCTCAGCTCACTGGAGAGTGAGATAATGGATATAGACCCAGAGTACAAGGAATTATCAAGTCCCTCCTGATTTACTAATGGTCCCCCTTTCTCAAGAGCTTTCTGCTTATCAGATATCTCTGTCACAGCCAGAGGAGAATGGCCAAGAACAAAACATTTATATATTTTCATAACGAACCTGTATACAGGAGTAGGATACATTGTCACATGTCCTAACAGGGACAGCCAGTCACATCCAAATACAATTACCTTAACAGATGCACCACTAATATTTTATTTTTAATAGATGACTTAAACTCCCTCATTTCATTTGACATCCAAACTGCCTGCTGTGAGCTACAAGGTCCCATGTGACTTGGCCTCTGCCTGACCCTGGGCTCTAAGCTGGAGTGCCCCCCCCTCCAAGTTCCAGCCATATGGACCTCTTCACCCCTTAACATACCAAGCTCTTTCCCTCGGTGGGACCTATGTATGTGTTTTCAGTCTTCTGGAGATGATGTTCTTCCCAAGCTGGGTATGGCTGGGTCCCACTCACCCTTCGGGTCCCAGGTGAACTATTTCCTCTTCAGGGAGTCCTTTTCTGGCCATTTTCTAAGTAGTTTCCCAGCCCCCCTATACACACACACACACACACACACACACAATGATTTCCCCTCGGACCCTAGCGTTCCTTGCCTTGTAGCATCTCCATCATTTATAAGTGCATATTTGTTTTGTTCATTGTTGTTGTGTCCAAGGATCATGATAGTTTTTCATTTGCCTAGTACTTGGCACATGGTAAGTGCTCAGCAAATATTTGCTGAATAAATGAATGAATGAATGAGTGAGTGAAATGGCACTGGGCAACTTCCTCCTCCTCCCTAAATAATGTTCTGACTCTGATCTGCTTGTGTCAATAGTTAGAAGCCAATGCACTGATGGAGACATCAGGGAGGGAGGTTACAGGAGCAAATCAGAAACGCCCACAGCCCAAACCATGGGAATTCTGAGCCTGGCCGAGAGTTGTCTGGGCTCTCCTGGCAACGGGGGTCCCAAAGGGTGTCCATTGGCGGGAGCCTCACTTTCTGTGCCTTAATGTTAGGTAGATCCCTGCTTTTCCCGGCAGCCACACGTCCTCCAAATCCTTCTTAATCCATTCGTATCTCCTGCCAGTACCACATATTGAATGTATGAATAACAAGTCTCTTTAATTTTATTATCTGTAGCGTGAAGTGGCATTTCCTTTATTTGGTCCAAATTTCTCTCACTCAAGAATTTCAGAATATGGTGAAAAGAAAAATCTGTGCTTATCTTTTCTGTGTCACTTATGTTCTTACTGTTTTGGAAGGTCCCCTTCCCTCCTAGCCAGACTTTCCAGATTCATGTCTCCAGCTTTGGGACCCATCTGTCTAGACACTTGGTGTCTCACAGTTGCCACTGGGCTTTCTCTAGACCCATTCACAGCTTGGTGAATGTGCCAGCCAGAACAAGACACCCTATTCTCAAGCTTTAGGTACCAAAGGATCACTTAAAAAAATATTTTTCAAATGATCTTCTTGGTGATGTCAAATACACACACACACACACACACACACACACACAAAGCACCAAATTGAGCACATAGGACCATTCATTTTATATAGTTCGGATTATTTCTTCTTCAATGTAAGGCCTCACTCTTGTTTTCACGTAGCAGTGTCTCCTCAGTTAATTGCAGAGATTCAAGCACTCTCCTTTGTAACCTAGCCCTGCCTGCTTGGCTCTTTGCCACCTAAAAGATTAAGGCCACCCACGAGCAAGTGCTTTCTCCCTCACGTTGCTAAGTTCAAATGGTCTTCATCATTTCTCAGGAAATATTTTTCTCACACCTGACCCACGGCAGTACCCATGTAGACACAGCTGTTGCTTCATGATATTCTACGGATGAAAAATAAAACACCCAACACACATGCATATCCCTCATGGTGACACAATTTTAAGTGTGTGTCAT